AGTGCGCATGCATAGCTTTGATATGCACTGAAGGTGCACGAGAGCGGAGATTCTGAAAACTGGATATGACGTCACGCTCCGGGAAGCAGTGACGCTTCAGCGGCTCTTTGAATATGATTTTCTGATACCTCCGTGCATCGAATTGAAAAATAATCTCAATAATCGTGATCCCGGAGGACAAATGGAGACGATTTAAGTGTTTTCCTCAAATTCATAACCTCTTCAGTTTCCCTTTGAAAGGAAAATAAAACGCGTATCAATCTTAATTGTCGTCGTTTTTTTTTTTTAAATGTGGTTTGTAGATTGAGTTGCGACCATCTATAGGAAGTATTCACTGGCGGCCATAGCTGTGTGCACGACTGCCAAGCGCGTGCTGATGGCGAGCTTCCACAGTTCTTCAGTAACGTGCATTCCGCACCCTCAAGATTGCCGGTCCTAGCAGCCTATTAATGTGGGCTCGTTCAGAGCATGCGCTTTAGACATCACCCTCAAATATAACGCCCAGTGAATACTCCTTATTAGCGGCGAGATGTTTCGGTGGCGCCCTCGTTCGGTTACCTTTCATGACGTCATTACCTGGTGTTTGTAATGGGCATGGTGGAACGTTGAAATCATAGCGCGCTGAAACCGACACTTCCAACACTGTCAAGATGAAAGTTATTACGTTCCTCTCATTTCCGTGGATGAGAAATCCCTTGCTGACGTCATAGTCAGCTTTCGGCCAATCGTGGAAGGCCGACCACAGCGACGCTTTCGATCGCGCACGTCGCCAATAGACTATCTCAGAAACCACCTTAGTGCACTGGACGCCATATTTGAGTACACTGTTCTCTGGGCATCCTCAGAACGAGCTCATACTTAATTTCCGAAGACCAGCAATCTTGATGGTGTGGAATGCACGTTGCAAAAGCGCCCTTGAAGCTCGCCGTTAGCACGCGCTGAGCAGATAAGCACTTCCCGCTCATTCACACTGGAAGCGGATCCGCGTTCACAAAGCGGTTGCGAACGCGGTTGTATAAAGATCCAGTGCAATTGCACGCGCACTCGATGACATCGAGTGCGCGCGCAATTGTACCGGGTTCTTATACCACCGCGTCCGCAACCGCTTTGCGAACGCGGATCCGCTTCCAGTGTGAATGAGCGGGAAGTGTGGATCCAAGAACCGCATTAAAAAAAAGAAAAAAAGTCAGGCTCCTCGCGGAACGTTACTAATTTCCCTTTTTATGTGGAAGGGGTCATGAAAGGATCTCGGGTTGGAATGTTTATGACTTTGCAGAGGCGTACTGGTGCGTTTGGCCCAAGTATACTCCTACAGACCGACACTGATTCAGAAACATTTTTGTCTCAGTGAAATTTTGAGGATAAAAGGAGACTTTCAGTATTGCCCTCGCAAAGCTTGATGATGTAACTGTGAGATCGAAGCCACCCGCTTGACGACAGTCGAGTGCGGTTCATGGATTGGACACGAGAACTGCGTGAGCACTCGACTTCGTCTCGTAACAATCAATGCCATCGGTGGACACTCGGGTAGGGGCTCGTGTCCAACAAGTGCGGTAATAAGAATAGCCTGACTCTAACAAAAGCCTGGAGCTCAGCACGAATTTTGTACTTTGCCAACCCCAGCGCGTCGGTATGGTTAATGTTGGCGGCGTATGATAAGCACCGGGCCACGGGGCCACTTCTTCTGACTTCCGAGTTGAGAGGATGAACGATTTTTGTATTTCTTTTGGCGACTGCCATTGCCTGGGAAAAAAAAGATAAATAAGGAAAGTTTATTTAGTTATCGCCTTTAGGAAGTGATCTTGCGTAGTATTTAGAGAAAGTAGAAAAATTAAATGATTTTTCCACTTCTTCCTCATTAGCTCTTCTCCTCAACTCAATAGCGAAATACGAAATCACGGGGTCGTGACGTGCTTGGGCAACGGTACGATGACTCCAAGCTTACAACACTGCCCCCCCCCCCCCCCCTTTTTTTCTCCTACCAAAAAAATTTTTTTTTTAATTTCTTTTTTGCTAGGTGATTTGTTATGGTCCCAGAAGACTACCCAATCAATATTTTGCAACAGTATCACCCGTATCTTTAATTAAGTGAAAAAGAAAAACACGAAACTCTTCCAAACTGGAGTTGAACTGGGGAGGCAGAAGAAATACAGGGGAGACGAGAGTTCCTGGAAGTCACGTGGCTACACCCGACCGCGTTTGTTTGTTTTACCTTCGTTTTCTTTTGATTGTGCGAAGCAGACGCAGAAAAGCACACGTCGCACAAAAAACACGCAAAGGTCAAGCACTTTGTGCTTGACGTTCGCGCGTTCTTCAACCTCTTACCGGTTCGTGTTTGTAAACCCGGGGTCTCACTGCTCATACATCATACAAGAGACAGTCTCCAAACACGAGTCACCGTAATATCCGTGGTTCGAACGCCGCGTGCCAGGTTTTCTCCTTGAACTCATTGCCATACGACGTTTGAAACAGAGATCTCGCGGTGACCTGCGTTCGAGTCTGTACGCAGACTGTCTTTTTCGGGATGTAAAAGCTTCAGTGTGTCCCCGGCCTTAGACGAACGATGTCTTCAGCCGGGAGAAGGGGGCGACGACTCGGTGACGCCTTCGTGCGAATCTGCTTGGTGGTCGGGCGTGTCGTACGGAATAAATCATAATTGTTTCGATCGGTAGAGGAATTATCTCTCGAAGCTAGACAGATTTGCAGGTACCGCAAAAAACAGTTCTAGAGGTCCCACGCCCACCGTCCGCCGCCATCGCCCCAGTCTGCTTCGTTCAGCCGTCCAGCCCGCAACTCCCAGGATACGCCGTCGTGTTGAGAATTACGCAGAGAATGCACAGAGTGCTCCCGGTTCCCTGTGCAATTTGTTTTTAGTTTTTTTTATATATCAACGTATTTGCAATTTTTTAGAAGCCACAAGAAATGAGCATCATATTTTTTTGCTATTTTTATAACTGAGTGCGTGCCTTCGATGACCCACGACTTTGATTATATTTAGTGCGTATATTTAAACCACAGATAACGGCACGTGACCACAGAGATGACAGTGAGCGCGACTCAAACCGGCCAGTTCTCGATCGGCGGTTTTCGGGCGGAAGCAAAACGAATTTCGAGGAGCAAATTGTGTTCTGGGTAGTTCGTAGGGTGAAGACTTGGGCGAGTTGGTTTTGCATATTGAAGAATTAAAAGCAGCGCGAACAAGACGAAGGACAATAGGAGACGTAAACAGACGGAGCGCCGACTCTCAGCTGAACTTTTTCATTTCCACATCGAGATATGTGCTACGTCTTGGCAAATCCCTGGTTTTTTGCTGTCTACCCCCTCTCCCCCCCCCCTCTCCCCCACCCCCCGGGAGGACTGTGGGTTCTAACATCGGTTCACGCCCACATCTCTCACAATCAATGGCGAGATTGCCCGATTGCCCGAGGGCGAAAACCTCATCGAGAGCGCGTGTTCTCTTAGCCTATCATTTTTTACATCGCCCTGTATAGCCGACGTACACTCTATTACAGGGGTGGCCAAGTTGACCGACCCTAAGAGCCGCAAACAAAACCATTAAACTTCCAAGAGCCACCGGGGGGGGGGGGGGGGGTGCAAACTTGTATTTATCCGAGTCAATTAAAAGCAGTCCAACTGTACGTAAGGCAGCAGCAATACATGACTACCAGTCCGCAACCTGTCTTTCGATTTAAAACGCATTCCATTTTTCTTTTTGGTGAAGTGCTCGTGTGACCGGGAGAGAGGTGGGGAGTGTGATGTGTGGGAGGGGGAGGGGGTAGGAGGGGGAGCCGCGAGCCGCACTTTAACACGCGAAGAGCCGCATGCGGCTCGCGAGCCGCTGCTTGGCCACCCCTGCTCTATTACATGACAGGGGTATCTGATGTACATGCGTGACTCTCCTGTTTACCACCATCTATTCGCGCACATAACCTTCCCAACTTCGATGGGGCTCAAAACACCACCAGGACGTTACGTCTCTGCGCCACTTTCTTTAGCCTATGAGTCACCTTATGCATGTTCGGTGGAACCACTGGCCTTACTTTAGGGTTTTTACCACCATACTTGTTCTGCCGCTTCCACGAAAAGGCCGTGCGGATACCCCCCTTATAAGTTAGACTTCCTAATTGGATTGACAAACTACACCTGATCTCACTTTCTAATTGAAGTGAAAAACTACACCTCATATGTCATGTGCAGATAAAATACTTGGCGAGCCTAATAAGTGCCTGACGGCGCCCATTGGTCACGAACGCAAATTATTCGTGGACTGACTGCTGCTAACGAGCGCGTACGTCCGAGTGACGCAGTGCTCGTGTCCAATGCCTGAACTGGTCAAGGCTGACGTGCTTTGTGCACCGCGAATGTATCACATTGAAAAAGCCGGAAAGTTTTCGAAGGGAAGAAGCCAAGAGATAGTCCGCTATATCGTCAAATTTTTGTACCGAAAACAAGGCTTTTGACTCACAAAAAGATATGCGAGTAGTAACATTCCAATCTAAAATTATGTACCCCTGCCCAAAATTCATTTCATGGCCCCTTTAACGGGACCATGAAATTAATTTTGTGTTGGGCTAAATGATTTTAGATTGCCATTTTACTAATCGCATATTGTTTAGTGGGCCAAATGAAAGAGGGTAGAAAAATCAAAAGCTTGCTTTTCGGTACGAAAATTTGGAAATATAACAGACTATGTTTTACCTCCTTTCCGTCAAAAGCTCTCTGCCTTGCCAACGTGATGCATCCCCGGTGCCTAAAGCACGTCAGCCGAAGCCAGCTCACGCATTGTACACGAGCGCTGCGTCACTTGTACGTATGCGCTCGTCATTAATATATCCGTCGACGAATATTTGCATTCGCGTTAAGCACCGTTTCTTTCTTCAACAATCAAATCTTTAAAGAACTACTTCGCAGACCGCATAAACAATGCGCACAACTTCATTTTTTTTTTTTTTGTTATGAATAACTCAGCGCTTCATCACGGCTCAGCCCATCTGATCGAGATGGTGCAGAGCGACAAACCATCTGTGGCGAGTCCGTATGGGAAGGCAGGATCGGGGAAAGAAGAGTCGGCGCCGTTACTGGACCCTGGTCTCGGTGTTCATCTGCGGGACAAGTGGCCCAACGAGTGCGAGTTCTTGGTCTCCTGCCTGGGCCTGTCCCTGGGGCTGGGAAGCCTGTGGCGGATGCCGTACCTCGTGCAAGAGAACGGCGGAGGTACGGCTCAAGGTTACACTTCTTTTTCAGTCGTGAGACCATACGGTGATGAACTGAGGGAGAAACGGAGGAGACGAGAGCGGAGCAATTACGCCCGAACGCCGTGCTCTGATTGGCTAGACGCCAAGCTATGCGGAACGCAAATTCGTCTGCTTCTTGCACAGGGGTTGCGATGATGTCAGAACGCAAAACTCTTATTGGCTGATTGAAAAAAAAAATAGTGCGTAGACTTCAAGGCAATTAGCCTTGAGGTCTGCCCACTATTTATTCAATCAAAGCCAATCATAACTCGGCGTCCTCCTGACGTCACCGTAACCCCTGCGCAAGTAGCAGACGACTTGCTCTCCGAATAGCTGACTTCGTCTCTATTCGGCTGTTCGAACGCGTTTTCCAGCCTCTGTCCTTACTCACCGTTTGAACGGTTTTCAAGTCGTGTTAAGGAGGTCTGAGATGTTCCATAGTTTTTATGTATCAGTCCTAAATGGCGTGAGCTTCATGGTAAGTTGGTCGTCGGGTCGTCATCTTTGCGTACTCTCAGCAAAATTGTCAGTAAACGTAAAGCTCAGTACACAATTCAAATATTACAGACAAAAAAAAAAGAAACACAAAAACATTAGAGCATTTTTTGAACTGATTTGTGCGTGACTATAGACCTTTTCTGTGTACTCTCGTCCGCAGCCACCTAATAGGCGTATCCGGTATGGGCGACGAAAAAAAACTCCAACGTTTCAATCCGCAAATTGTAAAAAAATAAAGGGGAGGCAAAACGAAAAGCTGTGACGGTTACGCTTATATTCTCAATGCCTTCTATTGGCGTGGCAAAGGCAAAACAATGTTTTCGCCCATACTGGAAGTGACGTCAATTCAAGATGGCGGCGCACTTGCAGAAAAGGTCTATATGAATGCATTTTTGTTTTAAATCTGCCAGACGGAATGGGTTCACTAAAGTGCGTATGCAAACAAACTAAAAAAAAAAAAAAAAAAACGAGAGGGCTATTGTTATGTTATATTTTCCAGCTGCCTTTGTCGTATCCTACGTGATTATGACGGCGACCGTCGGGAAGCCGGTCTACTTTATGGAAATCGCCATGGGACAGTTCTCGAGCTTGGGATCGACCGGAATATGGAATTGCCTCCCCGTCGGTAAAGGTGAGGCTTAGACTCTTAGTGGAAGGTTCAGCAGTCTCTGAAATCCCCCATAACCTGTCTCCGTTTGTCTTACTTTTTAGGCAGTCAGTCGTTAGCTTCACTCACTTTTAGAGTGGTCTTGATCACGCTCCCAGCTGGGGTTCTCTAATATCCCTAACTAAAAAATAAAAGGGGGAGGTGGACGTCTAACCAAGCCTTGACATGGGACTTGACGTTTCAAGGCTTCATCGGCATCTTCTTCAGGAGTGACTGTGGTGATGGCCGTTGAGGAACAGTATTTTCGTTGTCCCGTTTTTCTCTTCTTTTTTGATAGTGCTGGTAGGTAATATCGCGAAGCCCGTTGACGTGGACGAATGGAAAAGCGCCGAGGGGTGTTTTCTGTCGTAGTTTGAATGTACCATGATTCCCCAAAAAGCCTCAGTCTTTCCTCAACCAGACAGATTTCTGCAAAATGTTCCCGTTGAAGTCTATTATCCCTGTTTCAGGGGCTACTGAAATTGAAGGCGTCCGGTACAAACTCTTTTAAAGAGTCAATGAATGAGGTCTTTGAATGGAGGTCTTTGAATTACCTGTGAAATGGGTATTGCAGGCATGGGCACAATTACGTTGCATTGAAAAGTTGGGAACACCAAGGTATGTGCGTAGGCCACAAGCTTTGAGACCGAAAACGACCTGTACTATAGAGAGTCAGCCTTCTGCGAACTTTCCCACATTATGAGTACCAGATTCCTAATACTGGTAATGCACGTGTTTTTTGTTTTTTTTTATTGTTGTTTTGCAACTTTTAATTTTATGCATACTTCTGGTACGCAGTAGAGTCACTAGATAAGACACGCTTAGAGTATCGGCTCTCTGTTCCCCGATTTTCTTGTGGGCACCGTCATTTTGGTGGTTAGTGCAGACCGAGTGCAGTTAGCAATCGTTACGATTCGAGAATGCTATCAGGGAGTTTTATGCAACAGTTTTCGGACATCCGACACGATACAATGGGCCCTCCGTTACGAACTGCGCATGGGCTGCCACAGAAGACTCGCGCACGCGCAGTTCATACCGGAGGGCCCATCGTGCCGTATCGGATCTGCAAAACGGTTCTCTAAAACTTTCTACCTCCTGAGCTTTACACACGGTGTCGGGAAGCTCAGGAGATATCGCATTGCTCTCGCGAACTGTTTTAACATTTCTGGACGACAGAAAATCGTTTTCCCGCGATTTCAGACAACGTTTAAGACAACTGGCAACAATGATTTTTAGCAGCATGAGGGCTGAAGTGTTGTTATCCGGACGCGTGGCCTATTTAGTGGTTTACGTGGACAGTGTGCACCGACATTTTGCTTTAGACCTTTCCTGCCGTACCGAAGGTCGAGGCAGCATACGGACGGGTTTGCTTTTTATTTCGTGACACGTGAAGTTCCCAGAGTAGAAAAATTACAGTAGCAGCCTCCTTACCGTGTCGTCTGTATTTTGAGAGGGCTGGTGCCATTTCTTACAGGTATCGGAGTCTGCATGTGCTACGCCAGCAGTCTACTAAGTTTATACTTCGTGGCCTTCATGTCCTACATGATGATCTACATTTGGACCAGTGTAGAATGGAAAGTGCCGTGGGCCAAGTGCAGCGAGTCGTGGGGCGCGGATGCGCACTGCTACACTCGCAAGAGGAACTTGGTGCGCATACAATCGAACTTACAAACTATATGTCGACCTAGATCTTCCTACGGCAGTATATTTAGGGTTTCTCAGGCGGACCTGCTACTGTAAAAGGAGCTGGAAGAACCGGCGCCTGCATTTATCAAGCTCAAACTTTGAAATATCAAGTTTTCTTTCCGTAACAAAATAAGAGCAAAATTTGTTTCCAAAGACCTGGTTAGGCCCGTTCAAAACGATCCAGTTACCGGAACAATTAACTTGTGGCGCCATCTCCCGATAGGCGCAGCGAGCAGACGACGCACTTTGCTGTCAGCTCGCAGTGCCTATCGGGAGATGGCACCACGAGTTAAGAGCGACGGTAACTTGGTCGCCTGCGAGAGGGCCTAGTGTCAAATTTGGAAATTTATTTTGTTTCTCATTTCTTTCAAAAAAAAAAAAAAAAAAAGAAATACGCCTTGAGATTTCGCATGGTAAGACTCACCCCTCAGCGCGCATTGGTTGAAAGTTTCAGCTTTATATTTGCAGGCGCCGATATTTCTGGCTTGTCTTACAGCGGAAGGTCCGGTTGGGACACCTATACTTTCAAGTTACAGGATTCGTTATACGATTATCACATTAGCTATACACGTTAGCATGCTGGAGGCCATCCTACTTCTTCTTGACGAAAAATGCAAATTTGATGGTGTGAAACGTACGCTGCAGGATGTACGCTGTGCAGCAAGGCCACAACAATGGCCGCTGATTTGACAGAAGTGGAAGCTTCATAGCCAGGCTTCGTGCAAATTTAGTAAAATTGAGAGATGAAGAAAGAGGGAAAGAGATGGAGAGGAATAGAGTTAGCACGAGTATACATACTTAAACAATGTCTGAACACATAAATGATTAGTCCATCGTTTTTCACTTTTTCTTCAGTTATTGTGCAAGTATGTGCCCAAGGAACTGTCGAAGCTCTACAAGAACACCAATCTCTCATCCGGCAAGCATGTTTACTACGAAGACAAGCTGATCGTAGTACCGGTGCATGTCTACGACAACTTGACCAACATGTGCACTCCAGCAGATCACACGGCCGCCGAAGGGTTCTTTTTGTAAGTTTATATGTAATCGATGACATAGTTTGTGGCAAAAGCCTAGCAATAACTTTTATTTTTACCAATGCAGCCAGCGAGTTTTAGCACTTAGCAAAGGCGTCGGGGAGAGCGGTAACTTCAGAGTCGACATCGCAATCTGTCTTGGCATCTGCTGGATCGTCCTGTATCTGCTAGCCGCAAAGAGCATCCAACTCTCGGGCAAGGTCAATACATTCTATTTCTCAGATTTATTTTACCTGCATCCCCAAGACATCGTAACGCGTTAAAGCCTCCCCTCCTCCCTCCTTCAAGGTCTCCATGTGAATCGCGAACAAAGGCTGCGCTCGCTGGAGGCTCTGAAAGAGAACCCAACTGGGTTCCCCGTGTTCCCAGTGCGCTCGGGAACACGTCACTGCACACGAGTCTCGGAAGACGGTGTAAGAGTTGCGAGAGAATGCGTTAGCATTAGTGCCCTGGTACATGAGCTGACCTTGGAACGTTTGGAGTATCGAAAGTACGCAATGTCGCCATGGGTGGAAACTGGCTAGGATACGCCTTCTCCAAGCACCGACAGGTGGCGGCGGGGTGTATATCTTGAGAGGCTCTACGCTATGGAACGCATAGCAGCGGAGGCCGCACCGCCGCGCAGTGGAAGACGGCGGGTCTATCACTTCGGCGCGTGTTAGCCCACCCCGGCCAACACCGCCAAGACAGAAGGCCTCCGCATAGTCACCACAGTCAGATCGATCGAGGCCTGAGATTGAACACGAGTGCTGTGTTCGGCTGGGGCTCGTGTCCAATCAGCGCGTCGAAGGTGAGGCTCGGGCCCAATAGCCGAGTTAGCGCGATCCGACTCCGATGAGGTTTCATGATGGGAGAGGAGGCCATGTGGAGGCTTTCATTCTTCTAGGTGGTGTTGCCCCGGCCCCCCGTTCACGCCGCTCGGCGGCGACAGTCTGCGGATGGTTCTTTACAAAATAATAACCAACCCTGGCCCATCAGTACACGCCGCTTCACGGCGCCCCGCCGGCAGTCCAAGTACGCCCTAGCCCCGCCGTCCCCCCCCCCCCCCCCCCCCCCCCTGCACCTCGGTTGCTAGGTGTTACGTCACGCCGTCGCTCTCGCTAACCAGCCAGTCCTGTGCGGCCGCAATTGCTACGTCCTATCGCCTAGCGTCTCGAAATAAGCGACCGAGGTGCAGGTGCGCGCTTTGGACGTCCTCGGGAGCTCCCACCGCCGGCTTCGAAGACTGTGGACGCACATGTGCTGCTGTTCCGTCCTTCCGTATTCCACGCCGTTCTTGACACACAGTTAACCATGTCACCGTCCGTAAGCGCACGGTGTTGTCGCAAGTACTTCATGCACACGCTAAGTGACATGATCTGCTCGCACCAGGGAGAAGAGCGGTTTCGGCCTTTCGGGAATGTTGACCCCGCGGAAAACTGCTGAGAGGCTGCTTTCGCCATGCTTCTTGTTACGTATAACAGCTTCGCGAAACGCTAGCGCATTTCTTCAAGAATCAGCTCGGCGGCAACAGCAATTTCGACCCATTAAAAAAACAACAAAAAAAAGTGAAAGCCGTTTACAAATCCCTGTAACGCCGAATTGGAGCGCAGCTCTTGAGGAGGAGGAGTGAAGGGTACTGAGGGGAGGGTAGACCCCTCCTCCTTCTCCTCCTCCTCCCCTCATTCTTTAATACGCTCCGGGGGGGGGGGTGTCACGTGACCTCGGGGGGGGGGGTGTCACGTGACTTCGGGGAGGGGGGTCACGTGACCTCGGGGAGGCGTGACCTGGGGGTCACGTGACCTTGGGTGTCACATGGGGGTCACCTCAAGGTCACGTGACCCCCAAGGTGACCCCCACGTGACCTCAGGGGTCACGTGACCTGGAGGGGTCACGTGACCTGGGGGTCACGTGGGGGTCTCCTTGGGGTCACGTGACCTTGAGATGACCTTGGGAGGGGTCATGTGACCTTTGGGGTCACGTGACCTCGGGGGTCACGTGACCTTGGGGAGGACACCACGTGACCTCGGGGGTCACGTGACCTCAGAGGGGTCACGTAAGCTTGGGGGTCACGTGACCTTCAAAGGGTCACGTGGGGTCATCTTGGGGTCACGTGACCTTGAGATGACCTTGGGAGGGGTCACGTGACCTTCAGGGGGTCACGCGGGGTCACGTGACCTTGAGATGACCTTGGGAGGGGTCACGTGACCTGGAGGGGTCACGTGACTGGGGGTCACGTGACCTTGGGATGACCTTGGTTACGCCGACGCCGACGCCAACGCCGACGCCAACGCCGACGCCGACGGCGACGGCGACGCCGACGCCGCTCAAGCCGGGAACGGGCCCCTAAGAGCTGCGTTCTAAAGCAAAGACCTATCGTTTGCAGGCAAAATTTTTTCCAGTTCTTTTACCCAGACATGACAGGCAACAACGACTACAATTATTTGACCGAAGTCCAAACATCGTTGCACGGTCCATCAAAGGGGCGGTGCAACGATTTTCGGACTTTGGCCAAATAACTGCGGGAAATGTGCACGCGCTAATTAAAAAAAAAAAAAAAAAAGAAACAAAGTGAAGGTGAAAGGGCCTTTCAATTCCCACGTCTTCTTTCGAGTGCCGTACTCTGGGTCTGGGGGACGACCTGGTTTCCCGTTGGGTTCTCTCTTTTGATCCCCCAGCCACTTCCTCCCTTACTGTCGACTTTTCATGGATTAGCATCGCCGGAGGTCTCGGCGAGTGATCTACACAAAAGACGGTTCGCCTCAGGGGCTGACTTCCGCGAGTCCCCCAGAAGACGTTTCATCGTAGTTCCCATAACCGCCACACGCAACAGCAGAACGGCAAACGACTCGTTTTTTCTTTTGCGATTACGCATTGAAACAGGAGTTTTTTGGGGCAAGGTGGCGCGTTTTTTGTCACTTGTGCACAGATAAACAATATAAATAATGCAAACGGCAAATTCTTTTACCATTAAAATCGTTCTATTCTTTAAGCGCGTTAGACTAAACAGGTTGCCTTCCCTTGCACCCAGATGTAGGGCGCCAGGCCGCATCCTCCTTAGCCGCCCCCCCCCCCCCCCTTCCCGTTAAGCCGGCGCTGCTCAAAGACGTTTATCGTTTTTCAGGTGGTGTTTTGGGCAACCTTCGTTCTGTACACTTCCTTGCTGGCACAGCTGATCCAAAGCATCGCACTTCCTGGAGCACACGCCGGTATATTGTACATGCTCAGTCCCAACTGGGAGAAGCTCTCCGATGTGGTGGTACGCTTTTGCTGCGGCTTTTTTTCACACTGAAGAACTTTCCCAAACAAATCAGTCCATCACTATAACATAAGACCTCAATTTATTGAAAACCTCCCGAACTGATCTCCAAGGAAGCAAACGAACAGTGCCCACCGTTTTCTGAGCGTGAAGGTAATAACTAAATATCGCCACTTGTTCAAAAAGTAACTAGGTACGTTACTCGCTACTGAGATTTAAAAGGACCGCGTTTCTTTCTCGTTACTCTCAGTGTGTCGTTTTTCTTAAGGAGTAGCCGCCTCCTAGTCTTAAGACATGGACACACTGAATTCCCACATCACGCAAAACGTTGATTGGAATAACCAAGTGTTGCTGCAGTTGTCGTTTGTTATATGCATGTGCGTAAAAACGTATACGTGGCACAGAAGGTATATGTACTCACGTTGATGTACTAGCTGGTTGCTGACGTAATGATCTCTTCATGTTTTAGCACAGTAAGATTATTATATGGAACGCTCTTTCTTCATTAAAAACCAAATCGTGTAAATTGTGTTGTACGCATATCCCTTCAGAAGTAACTAAATATCGTTCATTGTTACTTCTTTCGAAAATTTACCAAGTCGTTACTTCGTTAGCAAAAATTAGCTAAATGTACGTAACCGGTTACTTGCATCTAGCTAATTTTTGCTAACGAAGTAACGACTTGGTAAATTTCTCTAAACTGAAAACCACTAACCAAAAAAGTAATATCAAAATAAAAGCAAAAAAAAAAAAAATTTTTTTTTGGGGTGTTTTGTTAAGCGAGTTTTAAACCAGTACATAACTTTCTGATCTCAGATATATACTTCGTTAGGTGATGCCTTTCACACGATTTTGACATGAGAACAGCCCTTGGCTGAAGTTGTGAAAAGGCAGGGAAGACTAGTTACAATTCTTTTTCTGCAGTTCTTCAACCAGCCTGTCTCTATTAAAGCGGGGCGGAAAAACTGCTGCTCTTTTGCACATCACCTTCTTAATTTATCACTCTTTCAATACACCATATGTAAAAATAAAATTTCCGAAAACGGATAGTTCTTATGCTTTAATGTCTCAACGTATTTGTTTCCGGGTGGTTTGCATCCCTTGTAGGTCTGGTACCAAGCCTTGAAACAAAGTCTGATCAGCCTTGGAATTGCAACGGGAGTTACCACCACCATTGGCAGCCTCAACAACTTCGGATCCAAACGCTCGAAGACTCTAAGGTGAGGCCAGAACCGTTTCAGGCAGGTTATTTATTGCACGAGTTTCTGATTCGTTTAGAAGACAGGATAGGCTGATATGGTGCGTAGCATTCGCTGCGGTCGGACGTGAGCTGTACGCTCTGAGGTCAAGCGTACTCAGAGCGCACAATATTTGGGCACAAATGCTAGCATCATCATCCTACAAAGGTATATACTTTCGGTTTCTCCCGAAAATCGAAAGATTAGTATTGAAGCATAAATATTGGGCAAGCACAATTTTTGTTTCCGACGAGAATTTATTTAGAGACATGTCCTAACCAGGTAGAAATTTGTTTTATAGGTTCAGTGTTTTTTTTTTTTTTGAGTGCGCTGTAAATGTGGGGAATTAGTATTTTGACTCGAGGAGTGTTACTGAAAGATGTGACGTCACATACTGAGTGTACATCCGACACCACTTGACCACATCGCCCGCTAAATCTGATAAACTTACGTGGATATAACGTGACGTCACGGTGACACGTGACAACGCGACTGATGTCACGTTACTTGACGTCAGGTCTCGCGACGTCGCTCGTCGTCAGAGTATCGAGCACTCTCGTGACCAGTGTTCTTCTGGACGTATTCCCGGTCGCCAAAAATAACCGGTGACCGAAAAAAAAAAATCCGAAAGGTTAAGATAACTTTTTTTGCCATAAAACTTTGCTTTGTACCGCGTACTAACGCAGTATTGTTATGTCGGATTAGCAAACCGCACGTCAAAACGCGCGCCAGAATGTATAACGCACACCACGTGTGTAAACAGAGTTTGAGTTCGTGTAAGATAGCT